GCCGCCATAAGAGTCTCATCCCATTTTAATTTCCATGTGGCGTGAGTTTTCTGTAGTGTTGGTTTCTCTTGTGCCCAAATAATTGCACTTTATTTTGGCCCAAATATATTAGTATTGGGTCTAGTATCGGGCTCCCCCTTAATTAGTGCATGTTTCAATCTTCCTTCGACGTCTCGTTGTCCATAAAAAATACTCTAATATACTAAAATAAATCATAAATATATCATAACGCTTAAATACATCCAATTAATAAATAACCCAGAAATATATAAGTGCGCTAATATTAAACGTATAAAATATTATAATAAATATATAAAATACATATTTTTTTCGGCCAATCAATAGTTGAGAATAAGCCCCTAGAGCTACAACCCACAACAACGGAACCAAAACTTCCCCATACAGCCAAACTAGAACCGATCTGCAAAATTGAAATTCACCCTAGAGTATCGCATACCCACCCAAGTCGGTCCACCACCACAGCTCCCTCCACGCACACTCTGGAGCCGCCCCACAACATGGAGCCATCGACAGGAGGTCCCCACCATCCCAACACTAGCGAAGGAAGGAGCCATGGTTGGACCGCATCACAGACTGCCGCAAGGCGCCCGTGACAACTGTCGGCCTCGGCGAAACAGGCGCTACTCGCCTCGACGACTCCGTCATGGCACTGGTACCAGAGCGGAAACATTTTGGTGCTGGAGAGTCGAGAACCGCCTTGGCCCTACCGATGAACCTGGAGCGAGCCAAATGCTCACTGAAGGCGCGAGGACCAAGGCCGCCCGAGGAGAGACGTACCCGTGAAAGATGACGGCTAGGATACGGCCGATAAAAATTGGGGGTTTTCCTAATAGGAGAGAGAGAGACAAAAATGTCCACATAGTAACCACAAATCGGAAGTACGAGTAGCGTGCCAACTGCGAAGCTCGAAAATATCTTTGTCCGTCACGCGCTCTCACTCGCCGTTGACGTGGCAGCACATCACCGCCTTCGGATCACTGGCATCCAGCGCGTGAGATTAAAAGACGTGCGCCTCTCAATCGACACAAGCTTTTTAGAGAGAGAAAACAAGATTTTTGTTTCTCTAGAGAGAGAAAGCGAGTGAGAGTTCGATCGAGCCCCAGCCCCCCAATTGCCTCCACACCCTCAAACCCTAATCGATTTTCCCCAATCTTTTCTTTTTCGCCATTTTTTTTTCAATAATATTTACCTTCCAATCGATCGATATGAACCCTATTTCGTCTCCAGATCTTTAGCTTTTTCTTTGATTTGGGCTTTTCTCCTTGTGTTGTAACAGTCAGATCTCCCTATGTGTAAAGGTTCAGCCTTTCTGATTCGATCGAGCTACTGTCCTATAGTTATTATCGGTGTCCTGGTTTGGGCAATTGTTCTCTAAGATTATCTTCGAAACCCTAGATTTCTTGTGCGACAGGGTTATGTTAGGGTTCTTGACGGCTGATACTGCAGAAATTAGGGTTTTTTATTCCACAGATTCGTAAATTTACATGTTGTATGGCTTCAGAGACTTTAGGGGATTCCGCCGGTGATGATTTGATTGCGAAAGCGAGGGACCGATGGACGGAGAAAAGCATAGTCTACACGCGGAGAAACCGCAAGAATGCCCCCAAAACCTCCATTAATGACGATAGTGCCGCCACCACAACAGCCTCCGTTCGTGAGAACCCATCGTCCGTAGTCCTCACTGCCTCGACAAATTCCATCCCCGCCCGAACTGAGGTCTCCACTGCCGTCTCCTCTGCTGATGCGTCCCTCTCTCCACCACCCGCCGCTGCCACCTGTCCGGCCCAAGATTCCGGGAATGGTTTAGTAATAAAGGAGAAAGACAGTGGCTCCTCTCTCCAGTCTCAAGACGTGCAAGAACAACCACAACATGGGCCGTCAGATGCCAATGAAGATTCTCGGATTCAAACTCCCGAGCCGCTTAATTTAGAGGGCTTGCCATCGCCTGATGTCAACAAAGCTCAAAATTTAGAAAATATACCGCCAGATGGAAATGAGGAGTCGGGCTCGCTTCAAATGCCCCAAGTTAAGGGAAATGGCGTCGTGAAGCCTCTCGTTATATCCAGCGTTGATGATAGGATAAGATTTAACTTAAGCAAGGCTACGGCAAAGGATGATATCAAGGATTTTAGGAGGACGCTGCTTAGCGAACTTGAACAGGTTTCCAGGCTCGTTAAGGAGCTTGAGGCCAGGGAACTTCAGATTGCGCCGACCAACACTCAGATTAGCAATAATGATGTGAGTAACATTAGTAATTATGTTGCTGCCAATGGGTCCAGCTTTAGTGGTTACAGCTATCCTCAAACCCAGCTAGCCCGGAATGAGGTGGCGGACCGGAGGCTGCTGGTGAGAGTGAATCCAGAGGTGGGTCCTCTCGGGAACCCTGAGCCAAGACATGTGGGATTATCAAGAGTGAATTCTGACATGGGTGCTGCCCGGATTATTGAGCCGAGGCCTTACAGCCGGCAATTGAGTGTGGCTGTTATGGAAAACAATAACAGGGGGAGTGAGTTTGTCGAGAAGGAGAAGCGCACGCCAAAGGCAAACCAGTTTTACAGAAATTCTGAATTCCTCCTGGGGAAGGACAGGCTGCCACCCGAGAACAACAAGAGGCTTAAGACAGGCAATGGGAGAAAACATGGTGGGGACAATGAGCATGGCTTTGGTTTTGGGTTCGAAAAGAGCCGGAATCAGATGTTCAAGAACTGCAGCAGCCTGCTCCAGCGGCTAATGAAGCACAAGCACGGGTGGGTGTTCAATGAGCCGGTTGACGTAAAGGGCATGGGACTGATCGATTATCATGACATCATCAAGCACCCCATGGATTTGGGCACAATCAAGTCGAGACTGTCTCAGAACTGGTATAAATCCCCACGGGATTTTGCGGAGGACGTCAGGCTTGTTTTCCGTAATGCTATGACTTACAATCCCAAGGGGCAGGATGTCCACATCATGGCTGAGCAATTGTCTGAGGTTTTTGAAGAGAGATGGGCTATTATTGAGGCCGAGTATAATTCGAATTGGAAACATCGCATGTACCATGATGGGAGGATGCAGGTTCCCTTTTCTAGAAAGGCTCCTCCTCAGAATCCCTACGGGCCTGGTTCGATATCTTTGTACGTGCCTCCTGGGACACAATTGAGAGCTTTTGATAGGCCTGAGCTTGCTGTTTCACCCATGTCTGTCGATCCCAAAGCTCAACAGCCTCATGCTGGGCGGACGCCTGTCCCAAAGAAACCCAAGGCGAAGGATCCAGATAAAAGGGACATGACTTACGAGGAGAAGCAGAGGCTTAGCAATAACCTTCAGGGATTGCCTTCCGAGAAGCTCGATGCTATTGTTCAGATCATTAAGAAGAGGAACACTGCACTCTCTCAACATGATGATGAGATCGAGGTGGACATTGACAGTGTTGATCCGGAAACACTTTGGGAGCTTGATAGGTTTGTCACTAACTACAAAAAGAGCTTGAGCAAGAACAAAAGGAAAGCTGAGCTTGCTCTTCAAGCGAGAACAGCTTCTAATCAGAATGTTGTTTTGAAGGTAAGAACGTAAAGATGTCATTGTTAATTGCGTAATTATTTTATTCCAATGGCATCTCTGTTTCTGGATCTTTGTTTCAATTGAATTGTATTTTTACCATATTGCAGAACTCAGTTCCACCTGTAGTGGATCAGATTGGACGTGGGTCAGGTATATCAGTTTTATGCTAATTCCGGTATTCTGTATTTGTTTCTTCTGAGCCAATGGCCTGACATTTAACTTTTTATCATGGACAAAGCTTATGAAAGGAGTACTGGTCAGCCTGCTGATGGTGACAATCAGGTTAATAATGGAAGTAGATCTAGCAGCTCAAGTAGTTCGAGCAGTGATTCTGGATCATCTTCAAGCGGTAATACTTTTTTTTTTTTTTTTATTTCTGTTATCGTTTCGCAATGTGCTGTTTCGGCAGACTGTTCACCAATTTATGTGTTAATAAGTACATCTCTTCTCCTTTTCTCTTTGTACATTTGGCTGTCTGACCAACTTTATGTTATAGATAATTATATTATGCAAACTTAAAAATCTTTTTTTTTTGTGCACTGTTGGACAATTATCACATGATTTTTCTTTTTTCTTTCATGATTTCCCGTCAGTCGGATTGATGATTTGGACATGTTCATGTATATAAGTAGATTCTTTCTCTGTTAAGATTGTTGACTATCTCCTTCAGTTGATTGATCCTCTTTACATATTAAAAACCCATGTTTCTTTGTTTCCACTGCATGACAAGTATCCTTCTCTTGTTGTTTCTGTATGTCAGGTTTAGATGTATAATCAGTCCATCACTTTTATCTCACCCTAAAGCCTTTTTGTTTCGTCCATTGGTTACTCACAGATTCGGACAGCGATAGTTCCTCTGCAGATGGATCAGATGGGGGGCATTCACCTAAGTCATAAAACAGCAATAATAATGCAGGTAAAGGATCAATTTGTTCACTATTCTGGGCTTTATCCTGTAGTCATTTGAAAGTTTTCTTGGATAGTCATTCGTTGAGTTCCATTATTTCTTGTATTAGTTATTAATTTTTGCTAATTACTTCTTCCTTTTTGTTTTATTGGAACATTATGAGCGATTTCCTTCCATTATAGTTTGGCTAGATTAATGTGCAAGTGATTTTCATGTGAAGTAAAGTTCTTTTGGATTTGAGCAAAGTTCACATGCTACTCTCTACTTTCATACAATTGATGTCCTTGTTTTAGAAGCCAAGGAAGGATAGATATTGTAGAAGCTTTGCACTTTTAAGTTTTAACCCTTGTCAGTCCAGTTGACTTAACTTACTGGCAATTACTTGGATGGTGAAAATGAAAGTGAAATAAAAAGAACTATAGCTAAAAACCAGTATGACCATGTGTATCAGAACACATGTCTGGCGTACTTTAAGAGCTTAAATGGAACAAAGTTTGTTATTTTATGCATATGCTGTGCTGCATAGTTTGTACTCCCTTCAATTCCAGCTGTCATCTTACATGTGTTATGCAAGAAAATGCTCCAGTCTTATCTTCATCAAGTTAGCTCTAAAATGCAACAACTGAAATCATTATTGAGTGTAGTATTTTATTTCTTGGATGAACTTGTTTAACATCACAAATAGAGATGAATTAAAATGACTGAAAAGTAAAATTGCAATTTGCGTGGATGTTGTTTGTAATGGTTATATGGTAATGTATGCCATACCTGGTGGACTGTTTGTGTCAGCTTCTATATCGTGGTAGTGTGCTCCAGGAAAAAGGGGAAACAGTGGGAAAAAGCAAAAAAAAAAAAGTGATCGTCAATTTGTAACTGGGGATTTTTGGTTTTGATGTATTCTATTATTGGTTTAGAAGTTGATTTACTTTTTTTATTCCGTGTCGATAGTTTTGCTCTTTCAAGAGTTTAATAAAACAGTAATTGCTGTTGTAATTGTCGATAGTTTTATTCCGTGTGTTTGCCTATTGGACACTTGGCCAATGTTCACTAGAAGCTAACCACCACTGACATTTTTGTGTTTTCTTTTTTTGTTGATGACTATCTAATTCTAGATTAAATTAGGGTATAACAGGAAAATTATTATTCGATACTCTTATTTGATAAAGAGGCATGTTTTAGTTTGTGAAACGTAACCAAGCCCATCTTTGTGGCACTGAGTGTTGGGTAACAATCATATCTTCATGTGGATGGTGGGAGTATTTGATATCTCATTATAACGAGAATTGTTATTGATACTTTTATGGTTCTGTGTCAATGGATTACTTCTAGTGTTGCACTCACTAGAGTAATGTGTCCCACTCCTCTCTATTTAAGTGTTCGTTTACTTTGTAATGGAAGTTGAATATAAAATGCTAAATTTCATGATATATATTTCAGATGTTGCAGCACAATGTGTCCAATGGGTCAACGTGTTAGATGGATATGCTGATGATGCAAGGCCTGCAAAAGATGGTTTCACAACCTTTCTGAATGTTGGCTGGACATGGATGATGGGATCCCTTCTCGTTGATGTATTGGGCACGTAATGCACTAAAAAAACTTCGTTCTTGCCATCATTTGAACTTGGAAGTTCTTATTATTTGAGTTCTTTTAAAATGGGTTGTGTAGTAGTTTGACCAATTATGATGGTGATGGGAGAATGTTGCGGTGGATGTAAATCGCCACAATTTCTCTACCATTTTCTAAGTTATAAAAGAGCTTGCTGTAGGATTTTTGCTCATCATTTGGCTAGTGACAAGCAAGTTTAGGGTTGGAACCGGTAAGTGTGCCACCTGTGGTTTGGGTAGTTTAGTGTATTCGGTGTTTTGACGTTGTATTATGGTAGTGTACAGAGTTTTGATTTAGTGGGTTCAATCGGATTTTATTTTTTGTTTTATGTTGTCAAAATGTCGCGGATTGATAGCCTTTGTCGATTTCATTTTGGGAAAATAGTAACTTTGTGCATGATGAAATGTAGTTGGTTCCTGTTAGCTGAGGGATAAACAAACTTGGCCACATAGATATAACTGATTTTTTTTTTATATAACATCATCAATGTTTATAGTAAGAAATTATCGCAAACAGGATGGCTTAGAAAGTGAAACACATGTCCTTTTTATTGAATTGTAGCAAACTGGCATATGCTCCTCTAGACTAGAAAATCCAAATACTTAAAGCAACAAATGGTTCGCATCGCAGGCAAATATTGTCGAATGTGTCAGTCGAGCATTATTACATGTGAAACATATTAAATCAAATTAAGCCAAAACATCACAAAGCCAGATGCCACCTCCAGGAACAATGTAGCGAAAGTGAAGGCAAAATTGTGATTGGAGTCTTAATAAATGTAAAATGTAGTTGAGTTCAGCAAAAGGGAATCACTTTAGTGGCTGTGGACAAAAGCAACTCCCTTATCGATTGAACTTTTCAACTCTCCCTTGAGGGCTTCCAGTCCTTGTTTCTCGTAATCCGACAGAGGACCCAAATCCAATACCTCCTCTACACCGTTCTTCCCGAGTCTCACCTGTTTCGACAACATATAAAATGTTACCCTTTGAACATACATGGATCTTCACAAGAACAAATAACCGAGCATTGTATTATGCGCGTGCAGAAACAAATCGGTATATGTTAACATCAATCCAATATCAGCAATGGAAGTGAAATAGAGGGCAGAGACAAAACTGAGGGGTATATTCAAGGATAATCTCATGGGAACTTGGAAGCTCATGTGATTCAAAGTACAATTTTCCGAAAATAAGACTAGCAGGAAAAAAAAAAAAATAAAGGATTTTAACCAACCTTGGATGCAAAGAAAGGTAGTTCAGTCACAGTGGATTGCACAAACGAACATTCCACAACATCTGGAACACCATTAAGTCCTTTCAAGCAAGCATCAGCAAACAAGGCCCCCGCGTAACTGCACATTAAATAGTAGCAATCAGACAATGCAAACTGCCATGACTTGGAGCACTATTACAGATAAAGATGTAACTCAATCTTCTGGAATATAATGCGCCTAAGGTTAGAGGCATCTTTAGTTCATCTTCATCGATAAAATTTAATCAAATTTCAAAAGGTTGGTGAACATCAAATAGCCATAAAGTTGAGCAGTAAGTAGAAATTCTTTGTCAAATATATCCAGCAGCTGATTCAGAATGCTAAACATAAACCTATAAAGTTTCGATAAGTAGCTGGCTATTGCAACATCAATGTAACAATAGATGCTATTCCAAGCTCTAGCTTAGTACAAAAGAGCAAAAAGAAATATCTCATCTAAATCTTTGCTCAAGGGAAATATCAACCATAAACTATGAAACAATATGCAAATCAGGTTGAGGCCATCACTTACGCCATTGAAAGTGTAGCTGAACCCTTTCCAGCCTTAGCTTCAACAACTTCCGTCCCACCATCTTGTGTTCTCTTGGTAAGAGCTTTAATTTCGTCATCTGACAGATTTGCTTTTGGTGAGGCCTGTAGATTAAGAATCAACATAATTATCATCTGTCATTACAGCCAAAATCGATGTACAAAAACAATTGCAGAACCTGTGAAAACAAGGGGAGAATGGTAATTCCAGCATGACCACCAACAACAGGTACATTGACATCTGCAAAGAGAAGCAATTACTATAGGTGATTTACGAATTTCAGAGCCGCAAAAATGAAATCATAACCTCAAAGAAAACAAACAATAGTCCGCAAGTGAAAAGACATACCAGCTACATTCACGTTGGCCTTCCCAGCATAGAAGGTCTTGGCCCTAACCACATCAAGAGTGGTGACACCAAACAGTCTCCTCTCGTCATAAACTCCCTTGCTCTTGAACACCTCAGCAGCAATTGGCACAGTTGAATTCACAGGGTTGCTAATCATATTGACGAGAGCCTAAATTTTGTGGCATATCAAATATCAACTTTTAATGTATTCTTGCTAAAATAGTAACTTTAAATCAACATTCCGTATTAGTAAAAGTAACACTATAAAGAAAGATAGGAATGCTACATTGGGGCAGTATTTGGCAATGGCTTCGCAAAGACTCTTGACAATGCCGGCATTAATCTTGAAAAGATCATCACGAGTCATGCCAGGCTTTCTGGGCACACCAGCTGGAATGATGACAACATCTGAACCTTCCAATGCCTGTCCCAGCTGCTCTTCTGATGCATATCCTTTTACCTGCACATACATACAAAATTATTCAGTTTCATGCATACCATCAGAAATGCAGATGCCACATTGAGAACAGGAGTAAAAGAATATTAATCAAAATATGAAATTCACTAGAAGCAAAACATGTTAAGCAATCATGAGAAAACTGGCACATATGACAGTGTAAATCTACTATATGACAGTGTAAATCATAAGTAGAATCTCAACAGCAACTAGACAATGGAAATTCAAAACGAGTATCATCTAAATCTACTATATGACAGTGTAAAGTGGCAAGTTGAGCAACCAAGATCCAACCCTAAAAACCAGTCCTTCAGTGCTCCAAAACCTTTACACATACAAAATCAAAAGCCACCAACCAAGCAAACAAAAATGGAGAAATAATTGAGAATTTTCGGCCCAGGCGTATAAAAAGAAAGCACAGGACCTCAGATCTGGTGTTGATGTGGCTGACGTCAGCAGCGACGCCGGGTGTTCCGGCGATATCGTAGAGAGCTAGGTTCGATACAAGAGGATTCAACTTCATCAAAAGAGACAGGGGCTGCCCGATCCCGCCGGCGGCCCCCAAAATGGCCACCTTCCGCTCCGGCGCCGAAGCCGAGGAGAAGGCGCGGCCCGACGCCGTGGATGAGGCGGTGCTCCTCAGGAGAACAGATCTCAACATCGCCGCCCTCATTTTTTTTTACTCCGAAGAATCTGATCTGAAGCTGGACTCTAAGACACAGGAGAAATTTCCGATGAAGATGGTTGAAAATGAGAGTGAAATTAAGAACGAGAAAAGGGAAGACATATTTATAGTGAGGTTTGTGCTATTTTTTAGGCCTCGTTTGTAGGATGGGATAATGTAATTAACCCCACTTACACACGAGCATGTTTGCATTGTAGGATGGGATTGAACTAAGGTAGTCCAAATGTGAAAGATTGTAAGCCTGGTTTGGTACATAGGATTAGGTATGATAACACCTTCAATCCTGACCTTATCCTATAGTTGGTGAGACAAATTCAGCCTCGCAAATAAAACTTTGGCCCGCTACTAAATATTTTTTTTTTTTTTTGGTACAATAAATAAATTATCTTGTTGGGATCTTTGTAGTTGTTTTTAGTTTTTGTTTGTGTTAGTTTGTTTAGTGTAGTTGCGAGTTCGTCATTCTAGCGTTACTAGACGGTTCTAGGCGATCTTCGAATCGGCCTCTCAGTTTTATAGCCTCTGGTTGTACTATTCAACTTTTGACTGCTTTCTTTTCGTTTGTGCGGTTTTATTAATATAGATGTGAGATATTTTTTATCCCAGCTTTACAGGATACTTAAATGACCAATTTACCACCCCCCCCCCCCCCCCCAACCTCCATCAATTTCTTCATCTTTCTTTCATCTTTTCTAGGCTCTTTTTCTCCATTTTTTTTTTCTTCTTTCGTGCTGTAGTTATTATTTTTTTCATCTTTCATCTTTTCTAACTCTTTTTCAATTCATCTTTCAAATATTTAACTCTAGAAATAATTTCTCCCCTACAACCATGGATTTTTTCAAATAAGTTTTACCAAACACTTTTTATCATATAATCTAATTTTTTAGCTATAAATCATAAGTTAAAAGCTCGAAAATTACATATAAATTACAAGCTAGCTTATCAGCTTGTTTCACCAAACATAGACTAAGTTTCAACTAATCGACCAATTTCTCATCATAATATCTTTTATAAAATTAGTGTCATAAATTTACATAATCTTAACACACAATCAAAAAGGTCATAAGAGGCAACTATATTCAAAGTAACTTAATTATGTCATCTTATATTTGAACATAAATCAAAATCAGGACTGAGCAAGTGAAGCAAACTTGCTGCAATTGACAAATAAATCCAAACACAAAAATAAGAATTTATTCCCTAAAAATCAAAGCCAAACAAACTATACAAGTGTCTAATAACCATAAATAAAAGGGTCTAAATTAAAAAAATAAAATAAAATAAAATTATCACATCCAGACATGATGTCCCAAGCCCATTCACAGCTTCAATTAGTTCTGCAGATCACTAGAATCTCCAGCTAAATATGTGTTTTTGCTGCATGGACAAAGCTCACACACAAAATACCAATTTTGCAACATAACAAGGAGTGACATAAATAGGGATTTGAAGTTCAAATTCTACCTTAAGTTAACATGAGATTGATGCTAATTTTCTCTCTAAATTGAAATCGAAGTCCAAGATGTAGCCTTCACCACACAACACAAACCACCCAAAATCAATTAATTCGGATGAGGCGTTCAGACACGTGCAAGAAGATAGACGCACACCACAATGACTAGTGAAATACAGGATGAAGTATGTGTATGTGCAAATTACGATATTGAACACCACAAGACCCTAAATGAAAACACTCAAATCTGTTGAACACCGGCCAATCACTTAAATGTAAAAAATCTTTAGGTTTCATTTGAATCCAAGGATTCTATAAGCTTCCCAATTGAAGATGACCTTCAAATGCACTAATAAAAGGTAAGATACAATGCGATTATAGTGAAATCTAAGATAATCACTATGTCGTTGTTTTCCTTATTTCGGAGAGCGGCAATTACCCTATTCCAATTGAATCTCAGTAACTTTTAGCATTACTACGGCACATACACTAAATTCCACCATGGGGAAAGTAAACATCGATGCAGATTATGTATATACCAACAAAATTATAATCATAGATTTGATAGAAATGACATTTAGCGATAAATTAGCACTTAGGAGAGCAGCACAAACGCCATTAAATATCCATGCAAAAAAATCATAGTAACATAAAGGCACACATGAATCTTCAATACTATTACTACATTCCTACACATTTTTCATGTACTAACGTAAAATAAAAATAAAAATGATTCGTATAAGATTCAATTTCTAGAATTGAATCGATCAAATGTCCTAATCCCGCCCCTGTAACAGTCTAGGCTTTCAATGCTCAGACCTTTTCGAGGTCGTTATGGAATATTGGAGTTTTTAATCTAACAACTTGTATAAAAAGGCATCCCAGATTCTACACTTTTTTCAACATAAATCTTTGGTTTTACTACTTTCACTACACGCACGTGTAGACAGGTGTATGCGCTACAAAATGAAGTAACTGATTTCAACTATAACATACGTAGAGGAAGGGTTAATTTGCATTCAAGAAACGTTACGATATATAAACAAATTTTGACACAGTTGTATCACTGTGTTAAATGTGAATTCTTCAAGACCAGAAAAAAGGTGACAGAGAGCACTCTTCGTAAACAAATTCCGTGAGCGAATCCCGACAGACGTCCTGGCCAGGAATGTATTGTGTTCAAACAAAATGACCAAACTATGAAAAATTAGGAATGGAAGCAGAAAATCCAACACAATACCCAATGTAAGTAAATCTCTCGTTTCCAAGATAAATTGACTATTTGAAGAACATAACTTATATCAACTCCAAATTAAATGCACAATCAAGCTTTACTGATACGTTTTCATAAAATATGAAGATTCATCCATGCAAGAAATGATCTTATTGATCTAAAAATGATCACTTAGCAAGGAACCATGTCTATTTTATCAAGCAAATAAACATACACAATAGTATTCAATAGCATGAAGAAACCCAAAAGCACAAGACAAAAAACAACAAACTTACAGAACAGTGATTGTTAATTTGAACCAAAACCCCCCGAGTTCCAAAATCACTGACGGAACTTATTACCCAGTACCTCAAACCCATAACATGGTTCCACAAAAGTTTATGCTAATTATACAAAAACCTCACAAATCACCTTTGTGCCAAACTACTAAAGACGAAATACCAAAATGAAGAAACAACAGAAGCACCAACACACAAAAAGAAATATACAGTGTCAAAGCACTTTACTGTAAACTTAACAGACTAGAATGATAACAAACATAAAATTGTTTTCATAAACGAAAAGGCTGGAGAGGTACACATGTCCAGCAATGGTTACAGCCATGTCCTCGTTCCCACTCACCCTAACATTTCCAGAAAAGTTGTCTAGCTCACTTTAATTATGATCAATTAGAGAAGTCACATCATAAGGCGCAGATGAAGTGAAGAATAGGCCAAACACACAGCAAATCTAAATCATCAAGCCAGAGTTCACATTGCCTGCAAAATCATCAGAACCACTAAGCTACTGCACGAACAAGCTGGTCATACACCTGAACCAAACACCCATTCACAACTCAATAAAGCATTCCCACATCAAACCAGCAAAACTGAATTTAAGATAAGAGAACTCATCCAATAAAATGCAATTATATAACTAATCAGAAACATAAGAGGTGAAAATTTTGCATATTTCAACACCAGATTCAGCTTAACAGACTTAGTAAGATCAAAAGCTAAAGATGGACGAAATATTGAAAGAAAAAGACAACTCCATAAAGGTAAATAGATATAATAATAAAAAATGAAATCATTCTCCTTAATATAATTATCATTGTAAGTTGTAAAATGATCCAGGAGCTTACAGATTGCTATAAAGTTGAACAATTGAAATCAGTGTGGCAATATAAAACATGGTATGTAATTCTTGGAAAGACAGATGCCTTACATAACACATAAAATGCAGAGTGGAAGGTACATAATGCATTGCAACTATCTCATTTTAATTACAAGTAACGAGCAATAATTTTGCAACATGCACAGGACTCAACAAAAATGGCAATACACCGATATAGGTGGCTGTTCATAACAGCTAACCTGGATATCAAATGCAAAATATTCTCTTGGTAATACCACAAGGTAAACATTTTCACAAACATAAATCCAGCAAGCTTTATAAGTTGTACACAGAGATGTGTACAAAATATTGGAGTGTGCACACCCAATTGAACAAAACGGCACTAAGTAAAAAACATTAGATGAGAACCCAACAAGCAGCATAAAAGTAAGAACAAAAAGAAATGCATATCGATACACCTATCGAAAATCAAGCAACTAACATAGAAAGAAAGAGAGAAAACTACTACAAGGGATAAAATTGCAGAACAAAACAAATAGACACTATAAAGTATCATTGAACCAGTGTATCACCAATTCTCTACATTATACACAATGCATGCTTGGATACAAAATTTTTTTTTTAAAAAAAAAAAAATACAATCATTTTTAACCAACCACTTTTTTAACTCAAATCTAAGTCAGTTTTAACTCACCCCACTATCCTCAATATTATCAATATAATTAAATAATACCACTCAATCATTCTTACACGTTACATCAACTTTAATTAACTAATCATCCACTCACATAATTGTAACTAATCATCACTTCACATCATCTCTCTCTTACTTTTACATCAAATCAACTTTAAATATTATTTTATTATAAACTCAAAATTCCACTAACAACTAACCGTACCACTTTCAAAATTAACCATACCAAACAAAAAAATCCAAATAAAATCAAAACATCTTATATCCACTAGAGTACTAGGTTACTACATATCTAAAAACATTAACTAAGTAACATAAAAACCAGTAACGGTCTTGATGCTAATGCTGCTAATTGAAAGATTTTTGAGGTAACATCTACAAAGACAAATAACCAACATGAAGCAGTCAATAATTTCATAGAATATCGTGCCAAAAGTCCAGTTGTGAATGCAGTAACTCAAAGTCTACATAAAGGTAAACCAACTTACAACATTGAAAAACCATGCTACAAGGACAACATATCATGGATCCATGCACTGTGCTAGTCCACTTTAATGAGTCCAAATTAGATATGAAGAATCTAATGTATGAAGTCACGGATTTCAACATCAACATCAACATACCCAGTATATTTCCAACAAGTTGGGGTCTGGGGGGGTCAGTTGTACGCAGACCTTACCCTTGTAATTATACAAGGAGGCTGTTTCCATAGCGACCCAAGGTGCGTTGCATCGTTTGATATATTTTTTTCTAGAAACTTCACTAATAGAAGAAGCACTAGAATTTAATTGAGTCATTTTGATCTAGTCCATTATTAGCACTATGCCAGAAGAATTGTCAACAATGACTCTTCCAGCTCCATATGCAATGGACAAAAGTCACGGATTTACAAAAAATATTTATTT